ACAAATATGTATGATTAACATTAATTTGGGATATGCGATCTCCAGAAAATCGTCTCGCAAATGAATGAAACTACAGTTTTAAAGGCGCGAAATCAGAGCAGGTGCAACAGAGACACGTCAGATTACTTCTGGTTTTACCCCCTCCATTAGGCTCGCGTCGGCGAGGAGTCGAACAAAGGAATAACCTAGTCCTTCTATTTATCCCTGGCGCTGACCACTCAGCTATCGGTGATAGCAATGTTTACGAAAAATAATGTAACAAATAGAAGTCACTGCAAAGGTGATTTAATTAATAATCAATAAATAATTACCGTATGACCCAAGTTGTAACTTTCCTCCAAAATTTCGTAATTGTATTTTATTGAATAGTCTTTCACAGTCAACTGCTTTATATTAGAACTTTATATATTGCTGAAGTTAGTTTTTAGTGTATTTAATATTGGAATATTTATAGAGCTTTTTATTATACATGATATAGCAAATATTCATAATAATTAAGGAGAATTTTGTAAGACAGAAACTTTGATTTCGTAGAAATTGTAATTTATTTAGGTTCATATTATACTTACGGTGAGTATAATACGGACCTAAAGAAATTACATTATTTAGAGTAACATGTTGCTTAACTGGTTTTCTTTTATTAGCATAACAGCAGGAAGAGGATAAAAAATTGAGATTTCAAGGCACTTTAATTAACATAGCAAATTTTTCAGTTTTCTGATTTAGTATATCTTATTTTTTTCAATATGTTACATTAATCTTATGAAAATTGAAATTTTAGTAAATGATAATACTCTTTCTCCAAAACTGTATATCCATCAATTAGCCAATAGACATTGAAATTATGTGTACACTGAAATACGAACATAAAATAGTTTTTTAAAAATTGATGCAGCAGTAAGAACATCCAAGAACTCTAGAAATAATTTAATGTAAATCTGATGTGTATCTGTGTGGGGCATTTTAAGAGCATGAGAAAATGTATGTGCAGATATTTTTAAAACTGCTTGGCCATAATATATAATCAGCTATGAAATTTTGTGATGAAGCCATGAAATCTGGAGGTTTTCAGGTATCACAAATAAAAAGCAAAATTTTTTTTATTAATCAGATATGAGAAGAAATGCTAAATGAAGACGATACAGTTGAAGTCCTGATATTGATATGGCAATGCCTCAGTCATGAATCAATCAATCAAAGGAACAGTGATTTTCTGTTGTATGGTTTAAAGTTCAAAATGGATTGCCGTTTTGGCTTTGAGTGGGTATGTGGTAGGGATTCAGAAGAAAATCTTTATGCAAAATACCTCTTTCTTAAAAAAGTAGGAACAAAATTATTTTTTAAAATTTTATAATCTCTCAGTATCATCTTATTACATTTAAACTGATGATTTAAAATCTGGACATTTCCAAAATCCTGAATTGCCAAAGTCCAGATGATTCCACATCTCAAATTTTATATGTACTGAGATGAGAAATAAGTAAACAGGTTATGTCTTTATTCTTTAAAGAAGTACATATCTTATCTTAAAAGTATATATCTTAAAAGTGTCTTGGAGTTTTTGGCTAATCTTTAGATTTTGGTAACAGGTAGTTTGGCGACATTTTGGTAAGGTCATAAAGGTTACTACCTAGGACTTTAGCAATAATCTGAGAAGTACACAGTTCGAATCACAGATTATTTTGTCTCTGAGAAATGAGAGATCATGAGACATGTAATGTGAAATTTTCCAGAAAATTCCGATCGTGATTTTAGCTAATAAGCACTTAGAAACAATTTTGCTGCTAAAGTGAAGAATCGCCCACTTATTTGTTTGGCATTTTTTACAAGAGTAAGAAGAATTGGATTTTTGTCAATTTTCTTTGACTATTTAAGTGAAAATAGGTTGATGTGTACCTAGATAATGTCAAGAGTGTGCGCAATGCCATTTTTGTGCATTTCTGGGATGTTTTTTTAAGTGAAAATAGGTCGACGTGTACATGGATACCGTGTATGTGCAGTTCTTAAAAACGCGGCAAGCAGTTTGCGATTCTGCACTTTCTCCCAATTTCGCACCTAATCTTCATCATGATTAAGCATTTTTGTTCCATAAAAGTTCTAGTATTTCATAAAAGTTCTAGTATTAGCATAATTCAGCTGCAGATTGTTGGAAAAAATTTGAGTTAAAAAAAAATGCCTTTACGTCGTGAAACAAAATGTTCCATAAAGTTCTAGTATGCGCAAATTCAGCTAGAGAATGTTGGAAAAAATGTTGAGTGTAAGGGCCTCTTTGGCCAATTCTTTTTTGCTTTGGCAATTATCTTTTTTTTTTGTTTATTCTGCCAAAAAATTGCTTCTTAGTTTAATTTGGATTCACCGATTTTTTTTGTAAAAAATTTCTCTTTTACGCGCGTTTTTTGGATTCAACATATTGTTACTTACACCGGCACTGGTAAAATTTAGATATTTTTCGATAACAAAACATAAAATTGGTTTTTTTATTTCCTTAATTTTTTTCCTAAGACAGATTTAACTAAAAGTTTATCTTAAAACTAACTCGTTGGGTTGATAATTTTTTCATAAAGATAATATTAATTCTTTTTATTTCAGATTTGTTATTCAAAATTGCTTTTGTGTTTCTTTTATTTTAATGAACTTTTTGAAAATTTAAATGTTCGCATATTGAAATAAAGTAAAAAATGTAAATTTTTCTGGACCCATATTATGATTTTCAGCATAAATAGGTACTCCTAATATTCATCTGGTACGGGGCTCACTCCATTCTTGCTTTCATATTAAGCTTTGTAATTTATAAACATAATTACTACTTTCCTAAATGAGGTAATGAAGTTAACATATTTGAACTCAATGGAGGGGTAAAGCCATATATGTTTGCACTAGTTGTTACTCCAGTTTTTTGGTTGTACCATTTTACCTTTTTCCCACCCCTCCCTTTTCCTTAATACAACAAATCCAATCAAGTGTTTCTGCAGAATCTCCCGTTATTCTGTCTAATTTAATCTTGTTATCAAATATTCTGTATCGCTGCTATTGTTATCAATTTTATCCTAAAAGGACCTGCTTTTTATATTCAAATCTTGCGTCTTAATGTTAACTTGAGATTTATTTTTTTTCCCATTCTCCGAAGCATGTTTGTGAAGGAACTAATCAATTATGTTTTAGTCTACTTTTAAGCTTGTTGTGGTCGCATACTATGTAGAAAACTAAAAATTTCATAGTTTATTTATAAAGGCATTTACATTCCGAGCCCAATATTTTGGTTATGAACGGATTACTAACCGCTATCTCCTTCCTCTTTGCATAAACCACTTTACTTTTTCAAATAAACCCCCCTTCGTATTTACCCTAAATTTAAGTTCTGACTTTATTCTATGTAACCTTCATGGTTATTATCTGTTAACATGGGACGTGTACAATTTGATTTAATATTGTTATTTTAAAAATACCTTTTTGTTTACTTCTTCTTCCTAAAAATAACCTCTTGTTGTTTCCTCCTTTTTTCAATGGTTGTTAACGAATTCGGGCCTCCCCCCAGCCCAAATATTATGTGACACAATGTATTCTAGCTTATCCCTTCTTTAAACCCTTCAATGGTGCCATTTTAAACAAGGGCTTCAAACTCCAACTGATGAATCTTCTCATGAAAAGAGACTGTAATTAAGCCTAACCCTCCTAGGCATGAAAATGTTCCAGGCAGGAATGTGGACATCAGATTCTAACTCAAACAAAAACGGGGAGTATAAAGAATCAGGCCTACAAATTTCACTAGTGCGGCTATCAAAACCAAATTTATGGTTGAAAATACACAAGGTAAAGTCCCCACCTTATCTTAGTCATGTGGTCTGGCATACGAACATACAGTGACAAACTTCACACCTATTTCTTTTGTTTTTTCTTCTCAGAACGTAACAATCCATTATCCCTAATTTAAATTCGGTTTGCACAACAACAACCCTTAAACAAATATTCCTGCTTCAGGGATTTATGTGTGCTATAAGTTTGAGACCACTGCATTAAACTACATTCAAATCTTTAAATATTAGTAGAAAATTGAGATTATTTTAAATTAAGTGTATATCCCATATATTAAATTAGAATTATGAACTCAGTGGTGGATTACTTGAAGAATTTCGAGATAATTTAATCTAAAAGTATAATTTGTTTTAAACTCTACTTTTAATAAGTGATGAAGTTATTCATTGTGTGTGGTTAACGTCAGTAATAGCATCTGTAGATGTTAATTGGAGACAAAGATTTTCCATAGTTTAATACCGGATCATAGATGTATCAAGTCATGGGTAGATACTATAGGGATGAGACTGCAAGTTTGTTCATATGTTTTTGCGTATGAACGAAATTGCAACATGTACAGCAAAGGTTTTAATCGGTGGTACGCAAGAGAAAAATAGGTGGTACGCAAAGATGCAAACAGTTTTAACTATTAAATTAAAAAATTAAAAACCCCAACATCCTCGTTGAGTTTTTTCTCTAAATTTATGCAATCTGAGCTTTGTTTAAGAGCAGTGGCGGTAGTAGTACTTTGTAGTGGTGGTACTAAAGGTTTTCAATATTTGTTTAGATGGTACGCGTTAGTCAAAAGATTGAGAACCTCTGATGTTACAGCATGTGAGATAATGTGTAGGGGTAGCAAACCCTTTATTGTGTGTAGCTAAGTGCATTGTACAACTGCTATAAATGAGTAACGCTTGTTGGTATCAAAATGTATCTGATCCACCACTGTTTCAGTTCTTATTATTAAAAAAGTGTGTATTTTGTAAAACTTTAGTTTATTCACTTTCAGTGGTTTAAACTTAGTTAGAGGCTTCTTATATTTTCCTCTGTAAGTGTTAGATTATAATAATTTACAAACATTGATAGCCTGAATTCTTATGTTATTTAGTTTTTACTTTATTTATTTTATTAATTTTTCCGATTAAATTTTGTTTCATGGGTTAACCCTTTGGATACAAGTGAAACAAGTCTCTATTTTTCTTCTACAGAACACAGTTTGTTTTCTCACGGAATTGGTTTAGGCTCCCCTCTGACCCCAACCAGTCATGTGACCTCACCTTCACCCTATCCTCATCTTATCCCTTCTTTAGAAAGGCACCCAGCATATGGTGGTCACATGACTTTGGGAAACAAGGAGCTTGAAGATCTCCAGCATGATGCTGATGAAGCCCGTCTCATGAAGAATCATATGGACTGTATCATGAAGCATGACATTCCCTCCTCTCGGCAGGATCGCCAGAAATCTAAAACTGATTCCAGGCACTGTTGTGAAAAATCAAGTGATGATTGTTGTAAAATGTCTCCATCCTGTATTTCCCGTGATAATGGAAGGTCTCATGATGACTTAAGGAGTATTTCAAAACTAGATGCCAAGAATCACAGTCGTCATCCAACAAATAAAGTTCAGCCATGTAAAATTGAAGTGAGCCATTCGCCAACCTTAAAACCAGACCTTTTATCACCGCCAATTGAGTCTCCAAAATCAGAAACTACATCACCATGTAGGAGTTCCAAAAAAACATCTGTGTCACCTTTTTCAGTCAACCTGTCTTCACCTGTTACTACTCCAGTCACCATGTTTGATAGTTGTCCAGAAACAAGATGTTCTCAGTGTGCTGCTAGTATGAAGGGTATTGGCATTGCAACTAAATTAAATACATGTGAAAATAAAGAGACTTCAGAGCCAGTAATTTCAACAACCTCAACTGTTGAGTCTTTTATCTCTCAGAAAAGTCATACATCTGTTGTCTCTACATTGTCCACAACTGCTGCCAGCCCTGTGTCCACAGCTATCAACCCTGTCAACACAAATCATTCACGAGTCGCAACTTTAAATGACAGCAAACAGTGTTATCCTAAATCTCCAAGTTAGTATATATTTTGATTTTTCATTTATATTTAACATATTGCTGCTAATATATAAATTAAATGTGAGTTGATGTATTTCTGACAAAATGCTTTTTTTATTTCTTGACATTTCTTAAACATTTATTATACTTTTGTAGGGTGTTCTCCTGTGATAAATGTGGTAGAAACTGGTGAGAAATCCTTGTCTGATCAGTTATTATGTAAATCTAATAGAAGTAACTCCGAAACACCTCCTGCAAAATTAACTAATAGTTCATCTGCATCATTAAAGCATGTAACTGCAGCTGTAATACCCACTGCTCCAAAACAGACAGTCCACCGCGAGATCCATCCAGAAACAAATTGTTCTTCATCTATGCAAGATCTTTCAAAGAACAATGCCAATAATGAACAAGCTGTTATTGTTCCTGAAACTAATATTTATGCAGAAAGACAAAATGTCAAACTAGAGGTAATTGAATCAAATGGCCTTCCTGACAAAATTCCTTCTGCACAAAGTCAGTTAGCAAATCCTGTCTGTGCCGCATATTCTAACAAATCTTTAAGTAAGAATCCATCTACAAGTTGTAAAGTCAAAGATATGATAAAAAATTCTTGTTCTGTAAAGCAGTTAAGTGCAGAGAGGGTCTCTGACATATCTCCATCCAAGAGCTTGGATAGCGATGCATGCAATAAAACATCACAGCCAAATTCTTCAATTGTGTCCTCTTGTGTTGTTTCCAGTGTTGTTAGTCCTACAGTGATATCTAAAAGTACATGTAAGTCTGGAAACATGCCATTTTCTACCATTGAGAATGCTAGAAAATGTAGTCCTTTCAAAGAAGATCTTCCTGTGATGAAAGCGGAAACTGCGAGTGCCCGACTAGATTGTGAATTTTCTCAAAAGTCAACTTCTGGCTGGACCAAAGCCACTGTTTTGCCATTTAATTGGCAGAATGGTAGTGGACATGATGACCAAGCGATAAATTTAACAGTTTCTAAGAAATCTGTGAAACCTGAACCCAGTGAAACAACTACTACTCAAAACTCTGAGATCTCTCAGGCTTCAGTTAAACTTGGAACAGAAAGCACAACAGTGTCAAATTCTGGGGTTATTGGTGTTTGCCATCCAAATCCAAATCCTAATCCAAGCAAAATTAAAGGTGCATCTTCTGTAAGTTCTATCAGCAATTTTGCATCGATTTCTGTTCTAAATCAACCCACTGAACAGGCAACTGAGGTACATATAATGCACAGATCTTCAAAAAGCTCATTCCCCATTGTGAATAGAAATGCAACACCTCCAGTATCATTAAAAAGTACTATATCTCATGTCACTGCAAATACTAATATTCACAGATCTTTGAAAGCAGAAAAACTGACTACAAAGCGGGGTAAACTGAGTGATGTTGATAAACTTGGCCATAGTGGAAGAGCTACATTAGCCACTTTGGCTCCAAAGCTATCAAAAAATATCGGTTTTGGAAAAGAGGTTCAGACTTCCCATACATTATCAGCAGCTTCATCTGTCTCTTCTACATCCATAGTATTTCCTGCTACAGGTATTATTTCTTATTCATGCTCATTTATTTAAAATTTTATCCATGTAATTAATTATTTTAAAATCTTTGTATATATGTATAATTATTTGCTTATATTAAGTTCAAATTTATCATACAGAATGCATAAAATCTAATGGCCCTGACTGTAATTGCAAATAACATGAAATATACAATACAATTATCACTAATTTGAAATTGTTCTTTAGAAGAGCAGTAGAGTTAAACAAAAAATTAATGTGACAGGGCACAGTGTATTAAAAATGTATTATCAGTATATAATATTACATTACTTCTGTGTAGAATGCTTAACATGATTCCATTCCTCAAGAAACAACTATAGCTACATTATGAGAATGACATCTTAATGAGAAGAGATCATAAATAAATAAATCTGTAGTTAAAAAGTATATATATATAAAAACTATATCCTGCATTAACATACCTCTTAAATATAAAAATTGGTCAGTATATTTTTCTGTCCTATCAATTTAATTTATCATCTTAAAATATTATCCATTGTACTTATCTTTACAGTATGTATCAGAATGTTTAAAAGCTAAGTTCTCTGGAACAAAAAAGAATTTTTAAATCTTGTTATCAAACTTAAAATTACTTCAGAAACATCAATGAAAAGGCTGTATTCATTAACAAAATACTTAAACACTTAAATACTTGAACAAAGCATTAGTGTTATAACTTATTGTATTATATTGGATTTCTAGGAGAAAAACCATTTTTGTACTACCTCACTTTGAACAGAGAACATAAAATTAAATTTTGTGTCTTATCACTTTATATTATAATTTAAAAAAAAAAAAAAATTTATGATATCCAATCACTTGCATTTAGATGAAATGAAAATATGGGATTTATACATATTTAATGAAAATAATCAATTCCTAGTTTTATGAAATAGGAATTTCAAGAACTGGAAGTGGAAGCTTAGCTTATTCATAGTTGCAGTTATATGCATTATAATGATACCATATCATCAACAACACAGTTTTCTGAAATAAACTCCCAATTTTATGAAATTTGTGTTGTTTTATGAAGTCTGTTTTATTAAATAATTATGACATTAAACTATGCTTGCCTTATATTAATTAATACAAATGCTGTTTTGTTAATACAGATTTTAAAATTCCTGTTATATTTCTGTATTTTTTAAAGTTTGTCCTTGGCTAATCTGGCTTTCCGAACATTTATTATAAAAACAGGTAACAATTTTGAGAATTCTATATGATTGCCAGCACTTGTATAGTAATTTGTTTTACTGTTTTTTCAGTAAATCCATGTATCCCTGTTGGCATAGCTATTGCACAACAGAGGCAAGATTCTTCTGCAACTTCAATAGGTGAGACTTAAATTTTTGTCTGTTAAAAATACATATATTATAATATACTTTTTTAAGTATGAATAATTAAATATACAAATAAATTTTTAAAATGTTGTATTCAATTTTTTTTTTTTTTTTCTTTTTCTTTTTAAGTACAGTACTGTGCAGAAGTGTTACAGCAAAGTAGTTTTTTTGATTTCTTGTGGTTATGTAAAAGAATAATGCAAAACACTTACCAATATGGGTAAGAACTTGTTTATTCGTTTCCTTAAGACAACAAAAGCATCATTAGCATTGAACTATCAATACAAGATAGCAAGAAACTTCTGTATTTTGTGAAAAAAACTATTTCGTTTTAGTCACAGCTTTCATTCTTCCTGACATGAGATTAGCTTTCCTACAATTATTTAATCTCTCCATAGTTTTATTGTATTTAATCCCATAGGGGCACAAAATATCTATATTTTGTTATCATAGTTTTTCCCCTTACCCTAGATGTATTGTATTTATTACCGTGGTATTGAAAAGAACTCTGGCTTTAATCCTTGTGTTTTGTAGAAAACCAAACAATTTGTAAAATTTAATTTGCATAAATACAGTTTTTTGGCAGTTACTGTTCAAAAAAATTATTTTTTATTGAGTATTCTTATTTGAATTTGCAGTCAGGTTTTGCAAACTATATTTCTGCTTGGGATGGCATATTAAATCTATTTAACACTCAGAGTCAATAAATAAGTTCTTTCAGTAAATTAAGTCAAATAACCATCTTATATTCGGAAAGAAAAAAAATAACCAAATAAAGTTCCACAGAAGAATAAAATATTTGAACTTTTATGAATTATCCCATTGACAATATTTGTGAAAATGGGAGAATATACAAAGAAATTTATAGTAAATGTAATTGCAAGAAATTAAAATTAATTATTTTGTTGTAATACTTTTGCAGAGTACTGTGTGTGTAAGTTTTGAGTAAGTGTGAGAAAATGTGATTAAATTTCATATTTCAACATCCTTTTTGCCATTACTTAATCATTAGAAAAAGATGACAATCATGTTTACACAACCAATGAACTAAAAACTCTCATTATTTCCCATATTGGACTTCAAAAATTATGCAATATCTTCTCCTCAATTGAATTTTATTTACATTGATGATAAAAATAACAAGTTTTATTAAATTTGCTTCTTTGTTGGGAATAAGTTGACATGGTTTTTATGAGAATAATCCTTTGGAACAGAATATGTGAATCAGCATTTAATTATATGTAACAGTCTCAGGGTACAGTTTAATTTAAACCTTTAATTAAATTAAAATAGTTAACTAAAACTTAATTAAATGAAAATTCTGATAAATATTTAAAAGGATTTTTTATAGTATGTTTATAAAAATATTTAATCATGCAGATCCATCAGGAGGCAAACAAATACAAATCGTAATTGAAGTAATATGTGAGGGTGTATCAGACTTTCGGTCTCTGGAACCGAAGTTCAATAAAATGCATGAGAAAATTGCTTGCTTAGATTGTAAATTCTTAAAAATCAATCTCTGAATTTTTTCCTAGTGAAAGGAAATGATAAGAAGTTATAGTTGAAGCCTTATTTAGGGAATTTCTTGAATTACTATTCTTTTTCTGTATTTTTAACAAAGGTGGAAAATATATATTTAATGAATATTTTATTCTATTTTAATAAATTGTTAAAAAGTTAATGTTCCCTAGTTTTGATATTTTCTTCCCTTCTTTCACTTTCTCTGAAAGATTAAGCTAATTTAATCGTTGTGTTTCGTCTTCGTCACTGTCATCAGATGGAAGGAGAATTTATTTTCATTTCAAACACTGGGATATCCAGATTATTTTTTCTCACCAAGATGTGCTAATGAATGAAGCTGCTGGTTAAAATTAGGTGTCAAAATAATTGCTCTGATTAATACTGAAATATTTGGAAATAATATTACATTTAAAATTGAAGCTGTTAATGCAGTGAGTTTTGTTAGATTGTCATGGAATGAAGTGGTGTTTAATGCTGCCAGTAATAAATTGGTTTTTATTACAAAGTATAACTGAATGTGAACTGTTGTAGAGAGTTGTAGTAAAGAGAATACTCTAAATGACTGAATTAAAAAGGTCACTAAATTATGAGCTTTTGTAGTGTGTTATCAAACTTATTTTTTTATAAATTTTTATAACATAAAATTTTTTTAATTCTTTTGTTTTATTTTGCATAAAAATAGTCTATTTTGCAAAGATCTTTACATTTATTTGTGTAAATATTCCCCCTCCCCCATAACCTTTTTATATATCCATTTTAATGTCTCCTAATTTCACGAATTTTACCTCTAGGCCTAAGATATTTATTATATCTGGATTTGACTATATTTGTTAATGATTAAATGCTGCCTGTTCGAGATTTGCAAGAACTAACCGTTCTCCTCTCTCCTAATAAACTTAAAATAAAATAACTTTACATATAAAATTCTACAGCATCATATTTATTTTCAAAATCCATAGAACTGCAACAAACTACAACAAAGATCAGATGGTTGCCACTCTTGCAGTGACAAACTATGAAAAGAAAATAACAAATGAGGCTGGGTTCTAACAATACTCTCACCTTTTGATTGATGACATATACTTAATCAATCAAAACAAAATATAATAAAAAATACTGTCCATACAAATATTAAGGCTAAATAGTAAACAAAAGAAAAAATTAAGTTCTTGAATTTCTACTCTAAAATAACTCAAGTAGTGTTCAGGTTAGAAATCTAGATGGAATTTTGATTTGTCGTCCACTTCTAGTCACGACAATCTTAATGTCCTTTGATAAATCTGCAGCTGAGTTATTCTTTGGCAATTTTGAGACTAAACTGTCTTCACCCTGTATCTCAGTTTCATTTGCCTCATCTGACTCCAAAGAAAGATGAAGGTATTTCAAGAGGGAATATTCTCTGGATTGGTCGAACTAATTCTCCAGACATGGTTTTGACACGAACTACTCGAATGTTGCCCTCCTTTCCGGAATATAGTTCAATTACTTTTGCTAGAGGCCACAACACTTGCGTTTGTCATCACATTCGATAAGAACTATATCACCGATTTTTATCTGTTGAGAAATCGGCACTGTAGATGGACGTTGCACTAGCAGGCCGAGATATTCATTTCTAAATCTCTTTCTCAAGAGCTCTCGTAAATTCTGTAAATGTCTCAGTCTCTTGTTGAAATCAACTTTATCAAGATGATCCAAGTCAGGAACTCCAAAGACTGGAATTTCACCTAAAAACAAGGATGGTGTCAAGGGGATGAGATCATCAGAGTCCTCTGACACATAAGTGAGTGGTCTGGCATTCACAGTTGCTTCGCAGTTGCACAGCACACTCATCAATTCTTCATAATTCAGACATGATTGGCCTAGGACTCGACACAAAAGCTTCTTAATCATTTGACCAAGTCGTTCCCAAAAGCCACCCCACCATGGTGCTGCAGGTGGACTGAACTTCCAATCGATCTTGTTTGTGGCGGCTTCTATCTCAATGGTATTCCAATTAATCGATCTCAAGAGATTATTGGATCTGACAAAATTGCTTCCCTTATTGCTATAAATTATCGATGGCCTCCCTCTATGGGCAATAAATCTTCTAAGACCAAGTAAAAATCCTTGAGTTGAAAGGGACAAAATCATTTCCAAATGGACCGCCCTGAAAACAGCACATGTGAAAGTAAAATCCAAGCTTTTCTTTTATCCTTCAAAATTAATGGGCCAGCTAAATCAACGCCGACAATCTCGAAAACACGAACCTCTCTAACTCTGGTTTTCTGGTAGAGTAGCAGGCACAGTCTGTAGTCGTTGTCTCCTGCACCTGACACATGCATATAAAGCTTTTCGAATCGTAGCTCTACTTTTCAGGATCCAAAATGTCTCTCTAAGTGTTGACATCAGTACGTGAATTCCTGCATGAGACATAGAGAGATGTTTATCAATTATCAATTTCTCCACAATCTTATGATTCTTCGGAAGTAACATCGGATAAATAAAATTTTCATGGTCTTTCCTTTCAGTCAACCTAGACTTGACACGTAAAATGCCTTCGTCATCTTTGACACACTTATTGACTTCAGCTTCTTAATATCATCAGATGAAAAAGAATCATGTTGAATAATCTTCACGATATATTTCTCAGCCCTTATTAATTCATAAATTTTTAACTCTCCTGATTCTCTTTCTTCTTTCTTCTTTCGGATATTTCCTATAAATCTGTGTATCCACCCAATCATTCTAAGTATTTTCTTATACTTTGAAAAAAGCCAAAGAATTGTGAAGACATATCGCTAACATTGCTTAACGAAACTATGACTGCTTTACGTTTTCCAGTATTAACCTCTTCTTTATTATCGACTGGGATAGAATTCTTCTTCCGGCAGTGCCAACCAAGGTGGGACCTCCCACCATCTTGATTCAATGAGTTTCTTACAGAGCATCCTCTTGATGGCATATCGGCTGGGTTTTCCGCACCTGGTACATGATGCCAATTTTCACGATCCGACAGGATTCTAATTTCTGAAACTCTGTTATTCACAAAAGTGCTCCAAACTTCTACGTTCTTTATCCAGAACAGTGCTGTTGACGAATCGGTCCAGTAATATTCCTTTGAAATTTTGACCTTAAGGTTCTTCTTGACAAATGATGCTAATCGCACCCCAATAAGACAAGCAAGCAATTCAAGTCGTGGTATACTTATTTTTTTCAAGGGAGCCACTCGTGCTTTGGCTTGCACTAGGGTCACTTTGACTTCTTTATTTTTGACTTCTCAAATATACTGCACTTGCATAAGATCCCTGTGAAGCATCGGCAAACGTATGCAAACTAAAAGATTGTCCTTCTGTCAATGAAAGTAGTCTGGGAATCTTCACAGAGGATAACAAGGGTAATTCTTTGACCCACTTCAAGAATTTTCTTTTTATATCTTCAGGTAGCTCTGCATCCCAGCTCTTTTGCAAGTATAACTTTGGAAGGAGTGTAAA